GTGCCAGAGCCGCACGAGTAGAATTTATAAATTCCATGAATTTTTAGACAGTACGACACAGTTAACTTTAGTTGGTTCTCAACTTATCTGTGGCTTTCCATTCGTAGAAATCTGTCAAATACAGTACATAATATTTTTAATTACTACTGAATGAGCTGTTAATATTCACGAAAACAATTATTTTAAGATATATTAATTAAATACAGCATTTTTAAAATTTCAGAAGAGAATTTACTTACCCTTCATAGTTTTGAATTTCAGTTTCTCAATTTCACAGGCAAATCCGTGTACAGGTACAGGACTTTCTCCAAATTCTCACGTAATCGAAGGAAAGTAGAAAATTCTTCGGAACATGAAGTCTCGCGACAGAATATAGACTTTTCCTCCACCAGCATTTGCTTATGTTCTAAACCTACACGCTTGTTAGTAAGATTTCCTTTTGAGGAGAAGCGCTTATCGCAATAACAACGAGTATTTTCTAATATATCCAACGCAATATTTTCCATAACGATTTCTTAGCAACGTAGCGGGAATACTTCACAACCAATTATCGATGATAAAGTGTGGTTTTAAAGCTAAAATATCGACAAAAAATTCCAAGCACACCGTACAGCACGACTTATACGTTATACGAACCTCACGACACTAGCGGCATCTCGTGGTAAAAACCAGAACTACGGCTACGGAATCGTTCTGTAATTAGACGCCAGTTAATTATTTAACTACTTCTTAAGTAGAAATAAGTCGAAACCAGTTACTTTGTACTCGAATACTTGTAGTCTTGGGAAAAAAGTGGAAAGACAAATTTTTATGACAAACGGATACATAAATCGTAAATTTAAGGAAAATAAATTCTAGAGCTTTTTCTGTACCTCGTGTATCTTTCTCATTCATTAAATTTAGTTGTAAATGACGCTGTCGAAGTAACAGTTAATTTTTTAACATTATACAAGAATTGTACACGTTTTTTTTCTATATCCCTTTAGAGATGGGATATACGAAATCGTAATATTACTGGTTTAACATTGAAATCCGTGAGTAATATAAAATCGGAGAGCGGAATAAATATATCAAATATTTTAACGGATTTTTTTAAACTCCCGTCAACTATACAGAAAACTATCGTAAAAACATACAGGTAAATTCTTATCGGTTGGGTTAAGTTATAAATCTACTCGCGATTCACGTAATCGGGCGAGGGCGTCCAAATATCTAGCGGGCAGGCGGCTAACAGCCCAGAACCGGTCTTACAAGTTAAATAGAATTGGATGAGGAATACGTGTAGCATCCACCCAAGGTCGTAGGCTTCCACCAGCTAAACCTAGTGAGATTGGTGCTCTGTAAAACGCATTCGCGAATCTGGCTTTTTGGATGCTGACGATACAGCGCTCCCACTCCGCCACTAATATTCGTACATACAATAGCAATCTTATGTTTTTTTTTTTACATGTAGTATAGAAATTTGTAATAAGATACATAATGCGGTTATAATAAAATATCTTGCGATTATTTTCATATAATTAAAATTAACATGTATTTATTTTTTAGAAAATACAAGGAAAGAGGCACATCCACCGCTTTCAATGACGGCACGCCAGTAGTGCATACTATTGTAAGCTGTCTCTCTCGGCAAGGAATCCGTTAACCTGAGATGACGCTATATAACAGGGGTATCCAATCTTTTTGTTTCTCTAGGCCACATTGGAAAAAGTCATGGAGTTTTGGGCCACATATTATATATTCTTGTGGCCCAATTCTTAAATATACTTCTATATTTAAGGATTAACATGTCTAGATTATAATAATAAGAATTAAAACTTTATCACGAAAAAAAGTACAGTATTTTAAAAAATTACTTCTGACTTTGAATTTTTACTTAGAAATACATAAATTCATTTATTATAAAGGAGGCAAAGAAAAATTTATTTGAAAAACACAAATATTTATTTTATGTGGGTCTCTAATTAATAAAAAACGACAAAACGTCATTTTAAAGTGCATTTTTATTCGACTAATATATTTATCAATAATATGTAGCCCAAAAAGTAGTCAATGTGCCAAATGATATTTTTTACGTCAAACTAATGAAAGGGGTAACCAAATTTGGCGCAAAGTAGCCAAATTTTGTAACATTGGAAAAAATGCTAAATAAAGAAAACCGACAAATTTATTTATTTATTTTAACGGCATAAACTCAAAAGAAAAGTTCCAGAAAGCCGTAAACCTCTATAGGCCTACATATTTTATTTTTGAGAGGATAGGAGATATTTTCAAATACTTGGAAATGTGTGAATGAAGAAGGAATACTAAATAAAGCTGGAGTTGGGACTCAAAGGATTATAGCGGTGCCGGCCGTCTAGTCGCAGTGGTATGCAGGCTGTCTTACAGGAGAAGAATGATAACTGCATTGCGAGATTTAGAGGAAACTCACTTTCCAGAGTATAATTTGCACAACTGCCAATCATATTGTGAATCTCGTTAGTAGGGATTCTACTGAAGCCTGTAGAGAAGCTATAGCATTCTTTGAAATTACTGTACTTGGAAATCTTTGAATGTGTACTGATGTCAGCCATTCGGATTAAAGTTCTCACAATGATTCACGAGATCAACTTGGCAATGAAATCTCGTGATACTATATGAGATGTGAAAAGGAACAACATTGATCAACTAAGGACAGATATCCTGATATCCTGAAACTAAGAGGAAATGAATTAATACATTTTTAGAAGCATGGTATCTGTCAATCAAATTGAAGTGCAGATAGTTTTGCTGCTCGCAGAGGTCCCAGATACCTAATTAACCCAATTCAAAAGGATGCCGAAAATTATATTAGGATGACTGTGTTTCACAAGACTTTGATATAGATGTCCTTTCACATTGCTTTTCAGCAGTCAGGGGCATTTTTGGACCTTTTGAGTTTTCGTGGCCTTAAAGCAATTAGATAAGAATGAGTTGTCACAAAAAGCTAATCAGTTTCAGCGGTACACAAGTCATATTTCAAGTAATATTCAGAATGAAGTGCTTTTTTTAAAAGAATTTTTGAAAATACTGTATGTGTGTACGAGATTAGTGAGAAAATAAAGATATCCCAGCACTCCTAGAAGGCTACGTGTAGTTGAATTTAATGAAAATTAATTTATATTACGAACAATATTAATAATTCTAATATTAAAACATTTTTTATTTTTTATTTATCATAAATCGTAATAAAAATTGCATATTTTGAAAATTATTTTTTAAAACTAAAATATGTTTTCTATGAACTTAAATAGTTCATGGCAAATATATAAAAAATCTGAATTAAAAATAAAAATTATATCTCTATAAATCTGTTTTAATGACTGTTTTAATTATTGTTAATTTCGTAAATCAATAATTTATATATTTCATATTATCTGTTTTTCATTTTATATAGATTGACGTCATTAAAATCAACCAATCGTAAAATTCTCCGATGTTGACAGACGATAATCGACAACACGCGCTTGGTTGCTAAGTAATGGAGTTATTTTTCTATTATTTTCGAGAAAAAATTTTGAACGGTTAGTAAAAATTGGCATTATTTTATAGAATTTAAATTAGTATAAGACGCGGGATTTAGTTCTGCACATATTATTTCAATTTCAAGGAAATATTTTGTCATGATCTAATCACGTGATTTCGTAATGCTTTTATAATTGCGCTTATAAATTGTAATAGTTGTGCTATAAATAAATGGATTCTTCAGCTAATTCCAAGTTAAAAGTGATTTACTTATTATTTTTTTGTCATTAAGTAAATATTGAAGTTAATTAGACATGTATATATATATTTCAATTTGGAATTATCTGAAAACTTGAATTCACAAAAGTAAATAATTGAATTGCAGATAAATATGTCAAAAGTGCATTTTTGTCAACATTCATATATAATGTATTCTTCAGTTATTATCAAGATATTTACTATTATATGCAATGCTAAACACAGTTTAAATATGACTAGAAGCATCTATAGAAATAATATTAAATATTAACAATATAATTTATTTGAAGAATTAATCATTGAACATGAAAATTAATGCTGCATTCAGCAGAAAATTATTCAACAGCTGTGGAGCTGTTGAATAATTTTTTGCTGAACTCCCTCTACAGTAGCACTTTTTGGAACATGTTTGGTATTTTGACATCACATTTAGTAGCATCTTTCTTTTATGCTACCTATCGCTACCTGAAACTTTTTGTTCCAATGCATAAATCGTTCATCATTTGGCAGTTGTAACTATGTAACAGCTACCAATTGAAACACCTTTGTTCAGTTACAACTGTTGACTCTGTTGAACTCAGCCAATGATGATGATAATGTGTGATCTCTCAATAAGTGAATTTTGTCCAACTGTTGTCATAACTATTCGTGCATTGCATTCTTAAACTGTCAATATCTCAAATAATATAATGCAGATATGTGACATTATTTAATAAAATGCTGCTAATATATGCAATATAATAAAGCTTATTTTAAATGTTTATTGTTCATTCATAATTTTTATTAAACCAAATAATAACATAACAAATTTTTTCTAGTTTGAATCCCTTATGAATGTTCACAAATTAACTTTTTCTTTATTTCCAACAACTAAACGACCAAAATGACAAATATTTTGAGAGGTTTACCTTCCCTGCTGGAAATAAAGAAAAAGTTAATTTGTGAACATAGTAAAACTGAATAATGTTTATATTATGGTAAAATATTTTAAACCTAACTTGATATTAAAATATCAATGCTGATATTATGTTAATACTAATTTAATGTTAAATTTTATTATAAGTTTAATCTAAATATATAAAATTACTTGTCTTGACTGACTGATTAATTGATCCATCATTGTCCAGAGCAAATCACTGAACCTAAAGATGTGAAATTTGGTACGTGTTAGGGTATGTCATGAAAACGCACACTAAGAAGGGATTTTTCAAAATTTCCCCCGCGGGGAGAGGGAAAGGATTAAGGCTTAACCTGAAGAACAGTTTCTACTGTACTATTTTAGATGCAATTTTTTGTTTTCAACTATGTTTAGTCTTCATTGAGTACTTAGGTGTATTAAGTTGATAATATTTCAGACATTGTTTTAAATATTTTTACATATTTTGATTTTTTAATCAAATGTTCAAACCATTTTAAATTTGAATTTGTTATTTCATATTGGTTTGATTATAGAACGATTGTAAATGTTCCAGAAAATTGATCAAATTGAAAACGGTTTGTTTGATTCTCAACAATTATCATCGTTCTCAGTGGTAGGTGTTATATAACAATTACTATGGTTGTTGAAATACTGAATATAAATGGTGTTTGCTTGCAAAATCCGCTTGGGCAAAGTCATGGGTAACAGCTAGTTTGTAACACAAAGATTGAGATACTAGCAAAAGGTGTTTTAGTGAAGAAATAAACAAATAACACTATTTTTTACATTGTCAGAATCATCTGTATTCACATTAATGGAAAATATCATAGGTTTAATCCAACAAACAATTATGATTATGATGTATTTTAATTTTAATTTTGACCATATTATTTATGACATCATCATTTACAGAATTGAACTTAATAGATCTTATGGGAACAGTATTTTGTAAAAATGGAAAAATGAACTCTAAAGTTAAAGAGATGGGAAACATATTTATTTGAACATTGATACAAAACCTCTCTTATATTTTGAACATGTCCAAAGATTTTATTACAAATTGCAAGGTATAAAAAGATTCCGAGCATCAATTGGTTATATTGCTGAGTGATAGAAAAAATATGAATCAATGCAGAAATGTACCAATACATCTCATCCATCTCCTTACTCATTCTATGGCTCACCGAAAATTGTATAGTTTCAAGGCAGTATAATATATTGTGATATATAGGGAAATGTATTAGGTTGTTCGGAAAGTATGTTTTTTTTTCCACTAGACAGGTTAGTCGTATTTTTCCCGCCATTTTCATTCTAAACCATATTATTATTATATATTTTGATTAGTGATGTGCCGTATATCAGTATCTGTATCCGTATCTGCGGATATCTGAGGGAAAAAAAAGATTTGTATTCGTATCCATTACTTTTTAGCGGATCTTTAACGGATCTTTATTTTAATGAATTTCATTACTTATATGAAATTTTAAAGATAGGTAGCAATAAAATACTAATAACTTCAATTCAGATCACTTTTTATTTCTTAAAATCACATATTTGGCACATTCACATTGCAAAAATTTTATCATGCAAAATTCATTTACTATCGTAAAATATTTCCATATTACACTACTAAGCTTTTTTGTCGACATTGTTTTTATTTTAATTTAACTCAACACTCTCCAAAAATACAAATGTAATCTATGCTATTCTGTGTCACACTAAACTATAAACAAAAACATATGCAGTGCAAGTCAAAACAGGTCGTGTTACTAATGCAAAGCGTCAACTATTGGTCCAAGGTCACATGCACCAGTGCCGACTGAGTACGAAAGTTGAGATCCGTATCCGTATCCGCGGATTTAGACACTAATGATCCGTATCTGTATCCTTATCCGCAGATATACATTTTTAACGATCCGGCACATCACTAATTTTGACAGCTAGCATTTTAAGGCTTATTTGTAAAAAAGTTTGTTTGATTCTGTGCAATTGTTTATTTTTTGTGTCCCATCAAATATGGAAGATCGAAAGCATCATTTTCAGCATATTTTGCTCTTTTATTACCAAAAAGGTAAGAATGCTGTTCAAGTGAGAAAAAAATTGTGTGATGTGTATGGAGAAGATGTATTGACAGAACGATAGTGCCAAAACTGGTTTACAAAATTTCATTCTGGCAATTTCAATATTGAAGATGCACCATGTTCTGGATGGCCAGTTGAAGCCAATGAAAACAAAATAAAGGTACTGATTGAAGCAAACTGCTGAATAACAACATGTGAAATCACTAAGAGATTAAATTTGTCAAATTGAACTGTTTATGATTATTTGAACAAATTGGTTTTGTTTCAAATCATGATATATGGGTTCCACATGTTCTTAAAGAGAGATGCTCTCTTTGGTGGGATTTTAAGGAAATTTGTTTTTGGAGCTTTTACCAGACAATTCGAAAGTGTAACTGCCATCGAGTAAATAAATTGAGTAATATCATCAAATAGAAAAGGTGGCCAGAATCAATCAACAAAACAGGCATTATGTTTTACCACGATAATGTCAAATTTCACACAAGTTTGGTAACTGGTTAGAAACTGTTATAACTTAGATGGGACAGCTATCACACCAACCATATTCGCCAGATCGAGCACACTCGGATTATTACTTGTTCCAGTCTATACAAATTTTTTTTAACTGTAAGACATTTACTTGAAATGTCAATGTCAAAAATCACTTGGATCAGTTTTTTGTAAGCAACGACTAAAACTTTTATGAATGTGAAATCATGCTACTACCAGAAACGATGACAACAGATATTTGACCAAAATGGTTGATATATAATTCAATAAAATATTTATTTATTATAAAAACATTGTCTTTTTCCACAGATAAAAAAACATACTTACTTTCCGAACAACCCAATACTTTAGAAGAGATTCCAAGAGAGCACCTTTCATGTATAAATATATGTTAGCATGTATATAGATCTTTTCATCACTACTTATTAAGGCAATTAAAAATAGGTTTTATTTATTTTAAAAATATTTTTGGCTATTTTTGAGCCGTCATCAGTTCAAAATATTTAAAAGTGATATTCTAAGAAAAGCTTATAGAATAAAAAACATCAAAAAATTTTTTAACTGAAAAGAACAAATTCTCACCACTTCACTGGATAGGATTTCCTATCAAAATTCTAGAACTAATATATATATTTATGGTTTATTAAAATATAGATATCCTTCACTTTATAAAAGTTTGCTTTGTGCCACTTTAGTTTTATAATTTTATTTATTTTTTCCAGTTCATTCCCTTTATTTCCAGTTCATTTATTGTATCTTTTTCTGCTGATTCTGATTGTTTGCTTGTGATCACATCTTGTTCAGTAAGTATGTAAGTAAATACTTTCAGAAGATGGTAATGGTCAAATTAAATCAATGTGAATATGGTGAAAATGAGCACTTGGCAAAGAAAATTTTCCATGCTTTGATATTGTATGGCAAATGATTTTTGATTTCTGACATGCCAGGCATGCTCTAGACCAGTGGTTCCCAATTAGTTTTTCCTGCGTACCACTTCAAGAAAGAGCTCAAACTTGCGTACCCTTTATAGCAGAAATTCATATTAATCCATACTAATATTATAAATTCGAAGGTAATTCTGTCTGTCTGTCACCTTTTCACGTCTAAACCACCGAACAGGTTTTAATAAAATTTGGCACAGAGATAGCGTACACGTTGGAGATGGACATAGGCTACATTTTACTGCGAGAAAATATCTTATTCCAATGAGAAAATTCGATATAATTCGGGCGAAGCCGTGGGTAGACAGCTAGTGATAAATAGAATAATGTTTTTTTTACATTTATTACCTTTAAAATACAATTCCAATAATAATGAAAATAACATAAGGTTATTTAATTTTAATGTGGCAAATGTGCACGATTATCTTTGCACAACTTTGTAAAATCAGGTTGCTTTTTGGTCAGCTTCAGTCTCGAGTTATCTTCGAGTTGAAGTCGGTGACGATGTTTAGTTTTCATGTATGTCACGGCCGAAAATCCGCTCTCGCAGAGGTATGTTGTGCAAAATGGTAGTAAATATTTTATTGCCGCTTCGCCGACACGATAATAATAATAATAATACAACAAACAAAAAAAGTGGTAATAACACAACAATCATCATTATTATCGTGTCGGCGAAGCGGCAATAAAATATTTACTACCATTTTGCACAACATACCTCTGCGAGAGCGGATTTTCGGCCGTGACATACATGAAAACTAAAAAATTGTACAATTAACACATTGGATTGAAAACACATTGGATTGAAAACACTGCTGGGTTGCAATCCCTAGTTGAGATATAATACGAATCCAAGATTGGCACAGCTATCAACTCCAAAAAGTTGACTAATGTAAAGTGAAAAACTGTCTCTCCTCATTGGAGAACGGAAGCAAAGTGAGGTCAGAGGGCAAAAGTCATGAGGTGCTGCCCTCTGCCCTACAGTTGTATTTATTGTCCATTGGCAGGTGGACTAATATTTCTTATACCTCTGATGCAATCGAATGGGAGTAAAATGATATCAGGTACACACCTAAACACCTAAATACTAATTCCAGCAGTAATTGAACAAAAATTTTTAATGTTCAAATGTTTTTTTGTGTTTAGTATATAGTTCCAGTTTACTTGTGCTAGTTTTTTGATATCAGGTACACGAATTTGGTGTCATTTGTAATCAGCTGTGGTTTATTAAGGGTAAACTGTACCTCGATGTTTGAGAACCAAAGTTCTGGATTGTTTGACCAAAATGGTGATACTTTGAGTCAATTGTCTGTTAGAAAGTTGATTAAAACTTACTTGTTTGAATTGTCTGGCTTACCAATTACTAATTTGTAGATCTGTGCTTTATAAAGCTTGATATTTATAAAAAGAAATGAAGTTTGATTCAACTGTAAGTGTAACAATAAAAACTTTAATGATTCAAGTAAGCTGTACATGAGGTTGAGCACATCCTTGGACCATGTGGTTGCTCTAGTGGAGTCATGGTAACAAAAGTGGTTAACCGGTACTACTAAAGCATCCTCTACCATTTTTCTTGGTCAGAGACATTGTAAAAATATCATTTTTATTTTATTTTACTGATTATCTCTACAACATAATTTTTTGGAGAAATGGTCACTCTTTCAATAATCTGTGCATCTTGCACAATAAAATCACCCATTGTCCAAAAGGTCTTGTTCAGGTCTGTACATACCTGTTCTCCAAGCGACACCTTGCAGTTTGAAACACATACAAAGGCCCTACACTTTGCTTGGTAATAACTTTTCCTGTTGTGCCACTATACTGTTAACTATTATTTTAAACTATACAGAAATTTTAACACCAGAATAGATAAATTACCCAACTTCACTGCCTGTAACCGGCATTTTTCTTCTCCAATACAGAGGACTTTGCAAACGTTTTCGAACCTAATGTGGTTCTTCTTCAGGCACTATGGAATTTCCTATGTGAATTCGAATTTCCAGAATTAACCGTTGTTTCGGAAAATTTTTTGGAACATTGTTACGTGTGACAATGGCGGGCAAGGGCGGCCAAATATCTAGCAGGCGGGCAGCCAACAGCCCAGAACCGGTCCCGGATACAATTGGAAGCGTTATATGTCTAGCATTGACCCAAGGTCGTAGGCTTCCACCGGCTAAACCAGGTGAGGTTGGTGCTCTGTAAAGTGCGTGCACAAATCTGGCTTTTTGGATCTGCTGACGATACAGTGCTTTCACTCCGCCACTAATATTCGAATATACAATAGTGATTTTTTTTTTTTTCACGTGTAGTATAGAAATTTGTAATAAGATACATAATGCAGTTATAATAAAATATTGTGTGATTATTTTCATATAATTAAAATTAATATGCATTTATTTTTTATAAAATACAAGAGAAGTGGTGCTTCCACCGCTTCTAATGACGGCACGCCACTGGTGCAGTGGGCTGTGGGTTGGACATCCTTGGTCTAGATAATCATTCAGGGCTAGTTGGAATGGAGCATAAATTTATACGTAATTTTGTTTTATGCAGTACTTGCTGTCATGTACTCTAAGGGCTTGTTTTATATATCATATGAAGAATGATCAATTTGATAAAAATTGCCATGACAAATAAGTTAAAGTTACACAATTTAAGAAAAATTCTTATTACTTTTTAATTGTGTCATTGCCAGAGGGATGTTTTTAATGTTTTACATATTGAGGCAGACAGGTAGCCTCAAAGAAAAGGTCGACTCCCATGGAACTGTTAATTTCCTCATGTTTGTGCAAAGGGACAAAGTTAAAAGACACTTTTATGTATTGTTTATTTTTAAAAATTTTTTTAAATTTTGTAAGTTTAATGATCAATTTGGTCTAGCATCATATGTAAATGAGTAAATACTTTTGGTAGAAGTATTTACAATAACACTTAATTGTCATTGTGAAAACAAAGGGAGAGAAAATTTACTATGATTATAATTGAGTTTTTTGAAAATCAGAAATAAATAACTGCAAAAGAAAGGCAATCCATTTTCTTACATTTTAATTTACATTTATGAAGGACCAAAGAAATAATAATATATTATAATATTAAAATAATAAATTACCAATCCCCGGAATGGGAGTGCAGCGTCATCCTGTGCCCCCTCTAGATCTGCATTGATTATTAATGTTATATTTTAAACTTTGTCTTAAAAATATCAATATTCTATCAGTTGCTTAATTCTGTACATGTTCTTTCACTATACTGACAAGTTTGTCTTGAAGTTGCATATAAACAACTTGTATATCTTTTAAAAAACTCCTGAAAATAAATTAAATATTCATTATATCAGGTACAGATTTCCTTGCATTACTGTGATTAATTAGTTTCAAGAAAGTGTCACGTAAAGCATGTTTACTTATAAAAATTTTGACTAAAATAAAAAATAACTCATGTATTCCCAAAATAAAAAATGACCAATTAAAATTTAGAATGACATATACATATATATATGTTTCTAATTGGTAACTCATAATTTAATTAAATTATTAGTTTACAATCAACTGATACAAGAATTGAATCTGAATTAGCTTTTTCTTATTGCTTTTAAAGTTCTTGTTGGTAGATTGATGATTTTTAATTTTGTTGAAGAAATGGTGATAAAATCAGTGTCAGTTGTGATAAAAAAGTTTATGCTGCAGAATCCAAAGTATCAAAAATGGTATTTCATTTTCTTAGATGAAATGCCATTTGTGATGCTTTGGATTCTGCAGCTTTTCAAATAACTGAACACTTATAATAGTGGCTGCAGATATGACGGTTGAATCATAAATGCAGGTGCATAATGATTTAATTCAGTATTTTTATTTTGACTTTTTTAAATCACATTATAATGAAAATGTGAAAATGAGATTGCACGTAAGAGATATGTAATATGAAAAATATATTCTAAATTTTAATTTTATTGTAAATATAGTTTTCCTATTTATGATGTGTTATTTTTTACAAATGTTTTTTATATTTTTACAGGAAAATTTATTTATTTTTTATATTGAATGGCAAGTTTCAAATGCAAAACTAAAGATGAAATTGGTAAGTAAAAACAAATTAAATAATGCATAATATATCTGAATATTTAATTTAATACATTTTAAGATTCTTCAAAATACAAACATAACTGCTTGAAGTTCAAAGTTTAATGAAATATGATTTTCAAACATTTTCAATTATTAATCTAAAATTATTCTTCATTTGGATCCAATAATGTATATCAGGATGGCCAACACATAGACAATAATGTATATCAAGATGGCCAACACATAGAACATGCGTTTGACCGGTCAACCGCAAATGTTTTGAAAGTAGCCNAAGAGCCACATGTAACTCCAAAAGAGCTGCATTTGCCCATGTCTGATTTATAACATCATCAGCCAAAATTGATTGTGGTGCAAGAAAAATGAAACACCATTAAAAACTCCAAAGGCCTGTATTACAATCTGCTTGTAGAAGTCTCATTGGTCTGCACAATCCTAAGGTATCCAGTGTGTCACCTTTTATTTCAGTCTGTCATTCATTTGATATGGTTATTGATATACCATTGTATGGGGATCTGTCATCTTGCTATAAATATTAAAAGTAAAGTTAATGAATGTTGCTTATTTATAGTTCCTAGTTTGTCGTTTTGAACACCTTATAGTGTCAATACACGAACTCTAGGCAATCTTCATTTTAAATTTATTCAACTTTTAGTTCACTAAAAATTGAATAAATTTAAAATGAAGATTGCCTAGTGTTAGTGTATTTACACTATATGGTGTTCAAAATGACAAAAATAATCACCGACACGGTTTCAAGAATGTATAAAAAGTTTTTAGCTTGTTTTTGGTTTGTGTCACGCTAGTATATAATGTCGGTCGGTGTTATCGTGTTCGTCATGTTAAAAAAAAAAAAAAAATTTTTTGTTTNTTTTCATATAATTAAAATTAATATGCATTTATTTTTTATAAAATACAAGAGAAGTGGTGCTTCCACCGCTTCTAATGACGGCACGCCACTGGTGCAGTGGGCTGTGGGTTGGACATCCTTGGTCTAGGTAATCATTCAGGGCTAGTTGGAATGGAGCATAAATTTATACGTAATTTTGTTTTATGCAGTACTTGCTGTCATGTACTCTAAGGGCTTGTTTTATATATCATATGAAGAATGATCAATTTGATAAAAATTGCCATGACAAATAAGTTAAAGTTACACAATTTAAGAAAAATTCTTATTACTTTTTAATTGTGTCATTGCCAGAGGGATGTTTTTAATGTTTTACATATTGAGGCAGACAGGTAGCCTCAAAGAAAAGGTCGACTCCCATGGAACTGTTAATTTCCTCATGTTTGTGCAAAGGGACAAAGTTAAAAGACACTTTTATGTATTGTTTATTTTTAAAAATTTTTTTAAATTTTGTAAGTTTAATGATCAATTTGGTCTAGCATCATATGTAAATGAGTAAATACTTTTGGTAGAAGTATTTACAATAACACTTAATTGTCATTGTGAAAACAAAGGGAGAGAAAATTTACTATGATTATAATTGAGTTTTTTGAAAATCAGAAATAAATAACTGCAAAAGAAAGGCAATCCATTTTCTTACATTTTAATTTACATTTATGAAGGACCAAAGAAATAATAATATATTATAATATTAAAATAATAAATTACCAATCCCCGGAATGGGAGTGCAGCGTCATCCTGTGCCCCCTCTAGATCTGCATTGATTATTAATGTTATATTTTAAACTTTGTCTTAAAAATATCAATATTCTATCAGTTGCTTAATTCTGTACATGTTCTTTCACTATACTGACAAGTTTGTCTTGAAGTTGCATATAAACAACTTGTATATCTTTTAAAAAACTCCTGAAAATAAATTAAATATTCATTATATCAGGTACAGATTTCCTTGCATTACTGTGATTAATTAGTTTCAAGAAAGTGTCACGTAAAGCATGTTTACTTATAAAAATTTTGACTAAAATAAAAAATAACTCATGTATTCCCAAAATAAAAAATGACCAATTAAAATTTAGAATGACATATACATATATATATGTTTCTAATTGGTAACTCATAATTTAATTAAATTATTAGTTTACAATCAACTGATACAAGAATTGAATCTGAATTAGCTTTTTCTTATTGCTTTTAAAGTTCTTGTTGGTAGATTGATGATTTTTAATTTTGTTGAAGAAATGGTGATAAAATCAGTGTCAGTTGTGATAAAAAAGTTTATGCTGCAGAATCCAAAGTATCAAAAATGGTATTTCATTTTCTTAGATGAAATGCCATTTGTGATGCTTTGGATTCTGCAGCTTTTCAAATAACTGAACACTTATAATAGTGGCTGCAGATATGACGGTTGAATCATAAATGCAGGTGCATAATGATTTAATTCAGTATTTTTATTTTGACTTTTTTAAATCACATTATAATGAAAATGTGAAAATGAGATTGCACGTAAGAGATATGTAATATGAAAAATATATTCTAAATTTTAATTTTATTGTAAATATAGTTTTCCTATTTATGATGTGTTATTTTTTACAAATGTTTTTTATATTTTTACAGGAAAATTTATTTATTTTTTATATTGAATGGCAAGTTTCAAATGCAAAACTAAAGATGAAATTGGTAAGTAAAAACAAATTAAATAATGCATAATATATCTGAATATTTAATTTAATACATTTTAAGATTCTTCAAAATACAAACATAACTGCTTGAAGTTCAAAGTTTAATGAAATATGATTTTCAAACATTTTCAATTATTAATCTAAAATTATTCTTCATTTGGATCCAATAATGTATATCAGGATGGCCAACACATAGACAATAATGTATATCAAGATGGCCAACACATAGAACATGCGTTTGACCGGTCAACCGCAAATGTTTTGAAAGTAGCCCGCGAAGCTAAAGTTGAACAATTTGCTTTCACTTAAATTAATGTTTAAAAATCTTAATTTGGTAATTTATTCTTACAATAATAGACTGTCTGTGCAACGTACCCGTACTGTTTGTATTTATCCTGATGAACAATGAAAATGAATGTTAATGCATGCGCATATAAAAATTCTAAAATTGTTTGCCTATATTCATAGTTGCCCGCAGACTATATTTTACCAAAAAAGTAGCCCCTAAGGGATAAAAGTTTGGCCACACCTGAAGTATATTATTTTTTTAAAATGGATGATTTGATTCGATAATTACAAATAAATGTTAAATCTTCTACCCTAAGCTGGAATTTTTATATTATATATAAAAACACACCTTCTCATATGTTTCCAGCACTTCTTTATAGTTCTAACAGATTTTTTTGGTTTGACTTGCAGGCTAGAAGCTGTTCCAATTGGGAGGAGTTATGTTGTGTTCCAAAATGGAACAATTCAAGTTTTTTTTGAGGTTATTTAAATTTCTTATGCTGTAATTTGAGATTTATAACTTTAAATAAAGTTATTTATTGAAAATATAAAAAAACCTGTAATAAATATTAAGCAAATGGAGACAATTAATAAAAAATTATTAATTGAATTAAGTACAATTAGATAACTCTTGCCAAGCTTGTGATATGCTGAGACTTTCTCTGTTGTTAGTGCAAAGCCCTTGGCTTGCTTTTTCATTGATGTTGGTGGTTTCGCTTATTCTTAATTTTTGTATATCAAATATTTTTATTAATAATTTTGTATCTTCCCAACATGGGGACACCTTGGACTCGCTTGCATATTGGGCTAAGGCAGTGTTATAGTTTCCTTTAAGAATGTCATATTCATGTTCTTTTATTCTGGCCTCGATTGATCTGTTAGTTGAGCCTACTTAGGTTAGACATCTGCTGAATCTAGAATCTTCTAGAGATGTGGTTCTCAATCTTTTTGAAATAGGGGAACATTGAACTTTGACATTTTTTTCTGTGGAACACTTACATCAGTTTGAAAGTAGAGGTGGCAAATCTTTTTGAAATCAAGAGTACACTCGGCTAGTACTGTATATGACATCATTGGCATTTGCTAATTACATTCCCATACAAAATGGATTTTACATTGTATTGATTTTTCTTTTGCAACAATTTTTAATTGTATATTTGATTTTGTTGCGAAACAAAACACACACTCACTTGATAGTCAATGACACCTGGACAACCTGTGCTGAGATTTGTATTTGACCATTCAGCTTCAAACAGTTCTCTAGTCCAAACACTCTCAAACTCATTGGTATTATTAGCCATGGTGTTTGAAAGGAATTATTGACATGAAATAAAAACAACTGATTCAAAAAACAATTCAAATTTAAATTTTTTTCATTTTATGTGCAGTATTTCCTGTAAGCTATGCAGTAGTGTGACTGACACAATAACTGAAATACTGATAAATATGTAAATTTTGTTGCAGCATAGTATTATAACCATAACAGCCATTTTGTTACAATTACTATTGAATATGCAAACTTATAGTGTTTTGTGTAGATCGGGTCATCAAACTTTTTTCACAGCAGGTCACATAACTGACAGAATGACGAGCGCGGGTTGCATAACTATTTTGTTCAATACAGTATACTGAATACACAAAAAATAAAGATAATCAATATATCTATTTATCAATACACAAACATGGCTGCAGCAAGCTCGTAATGTCTTTTCTTAGAAACTTCATTGTAGGTACTTACAGCAATATCCTTGACTTACACGAACCCGGAGTTACGCGATTTTCAAATTTCGTCGATTCATCTTTTGTTTGAGCACCACACCACTCTCAATTACTCACTCCCCCCACACTATTGTTCGGCTTACATGTTCGGACATGTCACGCGGAATTGACACGTAGAAAGATTTATTTTGTGTTATTTATTTCTGTGTTTATTATATCTACAGAGACTCGAGAGACTCTTTGTGGTGATTTCTTGTAACCGTGAACGAATCAAAAGACAAGATAAGATTAACGAGAACATTTATTAGCTTACATACATCCAACTTGGATTTTACACAAATTGCGAAATTATACCCCGACTTATGTGAATTCTACTTACGCGGTTATCGCTCAGTCCCACCTATCGCGCAAGCTCAGGGTATTACTGTACACAAAAAGCACTCTGATATCCAAAGTTGTCAAATTATTTATTTCACCAATTTTCCTAAAAATTATATTACTCTCAGATGCAAAAATCAGATTAGACTAATTTTGGCATTTTTACTTACATTTATTTAAATTTTTTTTATCTAGTAAGTTTATCTTGTAAAGTACTATATTATTTTTCCGACGTTTCCAACGATTATTGACACAACTGTGTGCTGGAAATAGCCATTCTCTAATGGGTACTTTACGCGGATTTGCGTTAGTGTGCCAGGCCTGGACTTTAAGCGTGCACCAAATTAAATAATGACAAAGTTTGTCAATAACAAATCAAATATTTAATAAAAGTTCTAGTGATAAACTATATACAAAATTGAGTAAAAATCAAATAACAATTTATTCAATGAAAATCAATAAGAATCAACCCGAAAAAACTCAAATCAATCTATTCTATATATGAGTGCACTATTCAGAAAGTTCGGGAACTTTTTGAATAGCGCACCTCCAGTTGGTATTTTTTAATTCACTTGGAGGCATTGTGTTTGCAGAAACCTCCTGAGTAACCTCCTTCAATCCTTTTGTTGATATCTTGTTTTGGTAATTAGTTATGGCCATTTATGTGAATGGGTATTTGTGACGTTCAGTGAAAAACCAGATCTGTGGAAATGAGCTCTTTGAAGGAGCAGCATTGTTCTGTGAAATTCTGTGTGAAACTGGAAATCCTTCATGGAAACTTTTGAGTTGATTACCAAGGCTTATGATGAGGATGCTATGAAACATACTGTGTGTTATGAGTTTACCCATTTCAAAAAGGGACAGCAATCAGTTAAGACAACAAGAGTTGCAGACAACCATCAATGTCGACTAATGACACCACATTGAGAAAGTGAACAATCTCGTTCATGTAAATCAATGTTTGAGTGTCAGGGAACTTGCAGAAGAGTGTGGCATCTTGATTAGTTTATGCTCTGAAATCCTGACTGAAAAATTGAGGATGTCTCGAGTTGCCGCCAAATTTGTGCCTCACCCGATGATAGCAGACCAGAAATAACATCAAGTTCAAGTCTATTAGAAACTGTTTGATGGAGCTGAAGAGAATGAAACCTTTTTGTTCAGGATCATAACAGGTGATGAGTTATGGGTTTATGGATATGACATCAATAGGATGACTAACACACCAAATTAATATATAATAACAAAAACAAAGACACTGAGTTCAGCATTACATGCGTGTAACGCTGAACTCAGTGTCTTTGTTTTTGTTATTATGGATATGACATCGAAACAAAAGTGCAATCTTCACAATGGGTGGGTGAAACATCCCCCAAAAAAGTTCGGCAAGTTTGCTCAAATGTTAAGGAGATGTTGACTATTTATTCAATGTAAAGGTGGTTTGTGCATCATGAATACCTACCTACCTACAGGCCAGACATAACTATCTATTTGAGGGTTATGAAATGCCTATGAGACAGAATCAGGCAAAAACGGCCCAAACTTTGGAAGAGTGGCGAGTGATTTTTTTCACACGACAATGTGCCGGCTCATTTGTCCCTTAGAACTCGTGAGTTTTTGGCCAAAAAACAAGACTGCTATGCTTCCCCACCCACTCTACTCACTTGACCTGGCCCCATGCAACTTTTTCCTGTTCCCCAAACTAAAAAACCCGCTCAAAGGAAAAAGATTTGCCACCATTCCAGAGATAGAGAAAAATTCGATGGAGGAGCTTATGAGCATTCCAGGACTGTTTCAAAAAGTGGAAACATCCTTGGATTAAGTTTATATGTTGGGGGAGACTAAATCACTGAAGGGGACTCTGACCAATAAATTGTAAGTGAAGTATTTTTTTTGTAATAAATAAAGTTTGGGAACTTTTTGAAAAGACCTCATAAATGATTATATTTTACCTCATTTGTTGCACAGCGTGGCAGCAGGCCGGATGAGATGACCTTGTGGGTCAAAGTTTGGTGACCCCTGGTGTAGATAAATGCGTGTGTTAATTTATACGCATTGAAATCTATTTGTAACATGTTGTGTTTTTAATTTCTTTGTTTGAACAATATTACCAACCAAATGTGAAACAACTGATGAATTTAATGATGAAAAATTAAAATATTTGTGCAGTTTTCCACATCTAAAAAAATTTTTTGTTCAGAGCAATGTTCTATATAACTATAAAATCAATTTTAAAAAATGTTGTTTCTTTATAAACAATTCATCTGTGAACTTATCAAAAACAACTTAATTATATCATTAACATTATATCTCCAATTTGAAAAACCAAAATCTATTGAAATTTATATCTTATTGTGATGATTAAGTTAGGAAAGTTTGAGCATAACCTTGATGACTTCTTAGAGTCTTATTTTTAATTTGTGCTAGCATATATAGATACTAATTTCATACATTAGTTAGTATTTACTTTAAATTTTTATAAATTTATTTCTTAATTTATAACAAAAATAATTTATTGCATTTTAATTTGAAGCTCCAGCTATTTTGTTAACTCAACTTATTCCACCACAAAGAACTTTTACTTTATCTGGCAGAGAAACATGGAATTGTGCATTTTCTCCAGATGACACTTATTTTGCTTGGTCCTGTGGAAATAGGATTGTTGTTATTGTTCCTTGGAAATATTCATCATCATTATCATGGTATTTATGCTTAAAAACTTTCTCTAAGATAAGATTTTTTATACAGTATTTTGTTAGTCAAAAAGTTAAGATACATATTTAAATATAATTCAAAGAAAATTATATAATATACATTGTTAAGGAATGTGAATCATCATCTTTTCTTCTAGCAAGGAATGAACCAACCTGGAATGCAAATTTGATTTGCATTCCAGGGAAAAAAATCAAAATTTAATTTGGAATTGGTCATTAAATTTAATATGAGATGGCAGCATAACTGCCTATCTCTAGTCAAATTATTTAATTTCTAATATTTAATTATGGCCTTTACATAGACCAAGAATTTGGCATATCGTTTGATGTGTTTATTATGTAATGAGCTATAGTTGTTGATACTTATATGTAATATGTCTGAACACAAGTTTTGGAAAAATGTGTGATAACAAGTGATACTAAGATGCTAGCGGAACGAGTACTAAACACAGACTGATGTAGCATGCACACAATCCGGAACTTGCCCTTTCCTCGTCACTCATTATGCAAAATGTTGATTATTAAGCAAGTCATTTTTTTACAATTTGTTTGCTTGTTATGTGAATTACTGGTTATGAGCGGTGCTTGTTAAGCAAGGTTCTACTGTATCAAAAATGATTACAATAAATATACTACTTGTAGTTTAGTATCGTATAATATTACAAATGAGACTGTATAATAATTAAAATTTCTCTATCTATCTCAATTAAATGTTAAAGGATAAAGATTTTGTCTATTAAAGTTTCTTAATAGTTTCTATTGGATATGACATGTTTTTTTAGCAATTAATTTTAAAAATATAAGACCAGGGATGGCTTTGAAAGTATACTGTTATAATTGTTCTTAACTCTTTTGAGATTGTATTAGTAAAAGTGGTTTTCTCAACTTTTTACTTATTATTTTTGCTGAAAATTTCTCTTATATCAGTTATGCCATTGATTTGTATGGATATTCCCCAACATATTAAGTTGTTTGAAATGTTTATATCAATTTTTTTATAGCCAACAGTTGAGACATTGGATGAAGCAAAAATTATTAGAATTGTATGAATCAATGAATATTACAAAAAAATAATGTTGTCTGTTATCGAACAGTATCATATTCTGAACTTCTTCAACATTTGAAGAAGTTCAGACATATGAATTGCTATGACATTTGGACACCTCACTACTTAATAGGAAAGAACTCACTGGATTTCATCTCCAATTGCAATTTTGTTCAAAAATGATGTAAAAATGACCCTTTTCTGAAATGTCTAGTTATAGGTGATGAAAAGTGGATTGTTTATAACATGGGTGGGCAAGCAAGAGTTCAGTGGGAGCCGAAATGTAGGTTTTGCAAAATGCATGGGAGTCGCAGTTCTGTACTTTTTTATTCTGTACCACAATTTTATTATATAATATAAAACAAATATTGAATTTTTTAATAAACATATTTTCACAAAATTGTGGAAATAAAATTGTAAAAAAAATAATAAAAAGCAGAAATTAACACTTTCAGCAAGAGCCACATGTAACTCCAAAAGAGCTGCATTTGCCCATGTCTGATTTATAACATCATCAGCCAAAATTGATTGTGGTGCAAGAAAAATGAAACACCATTAAAAACTCCAAAGGCCTGTATTACAATCTGCTTGTAGAAGTCTCATTGGTCTGCACAATCCTAAGGTATCCAGTGTGTCACCTTTTATTTCAGTCTGTCATTCATTTGATATGGTTATTGATATACCATTGTATGGGGATCTGTCATCTTGCTATAAATATTAAAAGTAAAGTTAATGAATGTTGCTTATTTATAGTTCCTAGTTTGTCGTTTTGAACACCTTATAGTGTCAATACACGAACTCTAGGCAATCTTCATTTTAAATTTATTCAACTTTTAGTTCACTAAAAATTGAATAAATTTAAAATGAAGATTGCCTAGTGTTAGTGTATTTACACTATATGGTGTTCAAAATGACAAAAATAATCACCGACACGGTTTCAAGAATGTATAAAAAGTTTTTAGCTTGTTTTTGGTTTGTGTCACGCTAGTATATAATGTCGGTCGGTGTTATCGTGTTCGTCATGTTAAAAAAAAAAAAAAAATTTTTTGTTTTCTTTCGTTTCGGATTTATTTCCTTTTTGTGTATATGTATATATATATATTAGTTTTTGTATACTGCCGATGTGGTTATTGTATTGTAAAAAAAAAAAAATTTATTTTTTGTTTGTTTTTGGGCGGTTTTTGTGTGGCAGCTCGGTGTAGGTGGGGGTGGTATATATATGGCGGGGAACCAGTAATTCGGCATTCTGGTCCTTGGTGTTCGAGTGGAAGGTGCGTTCTATGAGTGTATTGTGTGGACTCTTTGTGTTGACCGCCACGTGCCAGGCCTACACCAACTTCCTGTGTTATAATCTGGACTATATTTTTGGTATATAAATTTTGTTTGATTCTGTATTGTACTCGTCTCCTCATTTCGTGGTAATCTTTTTTATTCATCCTTGCGAATATTATCATACAGATATTCGTAGATCCCACATATTGGCGTCCGCGACAGGATTACCACTTGTGATAATGGAGATGGCGAGCACGGAGAACTCGAACAATGGCGACAGATTGGTGTCGAGTACAGCGGCCCGGCAGAGTCAACAAGATATGGTTAATGCAACCCAAGTTGTCATGGGGTATTTAGGAATGATCCCGATGTTTTCTGGATCACAGACTGATAATATTTCAATCAAGCAATTCTTCGACATATTGGAGGAAGTGTCGGCGATTGTGGAATGGAACAATAAGACTCGATTAGTGGTGGTACAATCGAGGTTGAAGGGCGAACCTTTCAACCTGGTTATGGATCTACGTGCGGTGTACGGCAACGACTACAATCAGATAAAATCGTCTCTCATAAGCAGCTTTCATAGACCTAAGCAAAGTGAGGGAGATACTTTGAAGGAATTCATCAATATACGACAGAGACGTGAGGAAACTGTCAGTGAGTACAGAGTCCGTTTATGTATCACGTTTGAAAAAATGATTTGTACGAAAGCATATGGCGGCTTTAAGGAGGGAAATGCTCAGTAGCCAATTCGTTCAAGGGCTCATCCCCAGTCTGAGGATGAAGTTATTGGAACGTGAGCCTCAGTCATTTAACGATGCGGTCGAGTTAGCGGAGAAACTCCATAAGATAGAGCAAACGTGCGGTTTTAAGGAGATTCACGTAGGTGGAGTAGTAGTGCCCTCCCCTAGTAAAACGGAACCGCCTGAAAGGGACCTAACCGACGTGGCAGAGTTGTCGAACAGATTGGCAAGTCTGGAAGAGACTGTGTCGAAATTATCCCGTGCAATCGAGGGATTGTCTTTGAAACCTAGAGAACAGGATGTAAATGGACAAAGGTTGCGGACTGACCGCGTGAGGAAATGTTTTATCTGTAAGAGTAAGGACCACTTATGTGCAAATTGTCCATCGAATTTAAACTAGAACGGAGCCATCTTGACAGCCAGGCCGGTGGCTCTGCATTGGTTATTAAGCTGGCGAGTGAGCCTAAGAATCACCAGCTCCCGTCCGTCTCTGGTGAGATTAACGGACGGGCGATAAGTCTGTTGATTGACACTGGTGCCGAGAGATCCTTAATGAACCAAAAGGAGCTTGAGTTTGTAGATAACATGTCTCCAGTTTGCAATGATGTGAACGTAAGGGTGAGAGGCATATCTGGGGGTGTCATGAGATGTAATCGGGGATTTTCGTTCAAAGTTGAGTTTGACGGCAAGGTGACCCCCACACAATTCATTGGGGTGAACTCGGAGATTCTTATTGGTCACCATGGTATTCTTGGGATGGACTTCATAAGCAATTGCCTGGAGATCTTGACGAAAATAGCTGTGGCCATCAATAGTAGTGAGCTGGTAACTGCACCCTCACAAACTGTGGAACTGATATCGTGCCAGGAACTTCATAAATTGCCTGAACCAATAGACCTATCCCACTTACCACCCGGAAAGGTTGCATGTGTCTCTGAGGTTATTGAGGAATTCTCTGATATATTTAGTGAATCCGTTGAGGAGTTAAAGGGAACAACCAAATTCACCCATGAGTTCGAGGTGAACACAGACAAGCCAATTCACACACATCAATACCGGATCCCGCATGCCTACTTACCAAAACTAAAGGAGAAAATTCAACAATATTTGAAAGCTGGCATTATTGAACAATCACGGTCTGAGTGGAACTCTCCACTGCATATTGTCCCCAAGAGTAATGGTGAAATAAGGATCACTTTGGATCTAAGGAAAGTGAATGAAGTCACCAAAGGGCAGGACTTCCCCCTTATGAGAATTGACGACATTCTGTCTCAATTAAAAGGGGGAAGAGTATTTTCCGTGTTGGACCTGAACTCTGGTATTTCCAGATACCTGTGGCCCCACACCTTCGTGAGATATTCGCCTTTTCTACCCCCTGGGGAAAATACCAGCTGTGCCGCATGCCCCAAGGGGGGAAAAACTCTGGACGGTTCTTTCAAAGAATCATGAATTCCATACTCTCCAAATATGTTGGGACTCATTGTTTCGTCTTCCAGGACGATGTGGTTTTGTTCTCCCAGGACTTGGATGAACATACCGTGTTGCTTAGGGAGGTGCTCCAGATGATCAAGGAGGCAGAATTGGTCCTAAGACCGTCAAAGTGTCGCTTTGCCGTCACATCTGTCCGTTACCTGGGGCACATCATTGATAATGAAGGAGTTAGACCAGACCCAGAGAACATTAGGGCTTTCATGGAAATCCCCCCACCCAAAACGGTTAAGGAGGTAAGAGCGTTCTTAGGGGCTCTGGGCTTCTATTGTCCATTCATAGATAATTTCGCCCACCTATCGTTGCCCCTTACCGAGCTAACTAAAAAGGGACATCGTTTCAGGTGGTCAAGGGAATGTGAGGACAGTTTTGATAAATTGAAAAGGGCCTTGACCACGCCTCCGACCTTAAGGCACCCTGATTTTTCATCAGAGTTCCAT